ATTGAATAGACAAAGATGAAGTTTATTTAACGTATGATTCCGTAAATTGTATAAACACTGTACCTCTGAAGGACATAGAGATTGTATATTTTCTTTTATAATGGCAAAATTTAATAAAGTATATTTAAAAAATAAATAAATAAAACAATCTTTCCCTTTTGGGGAAATCTCTAAACTAAATTAAAATATTAAACTTCCATATTTTAAAAGTGAAAGTGGTTTAAATCAATAGAAATAGAATGCATCCATTGATATTTTCACTTACTTTATCATTCCCTCTCTTTCACTTATACCTCCTTTCTTTTTTTTAGATTTCATATGGCTCATTTCAATTGGCAGCGACTGATGAATCGCGTTTCCCGCCTTTTTATCGCATGGCCCCCGATGAAGCTCTCCAGTACGAGGGTTTAATCCAGCTCTTCCTGTACTTTGGATGGAAGTGGGTAGGATTTGTCATTGTAGATGATAAACATGGAGAACATTTCATACAAACTCTGGAACCCATGCTCTCTCAAAATAAAATCTGCTCCGAATTCACTGAAAGGGTTGACAGAAATTTACATTCTTCTAAAGGATTAGACTTGATTGATCGTTGTCTGAGGCACATTACTTTGTTCACAGAGAAAACAGCAAATGCAGTTATTATGCATGGAGAAAATACAGTCTTTACGTGGCTGGCCTCTATTTTACAAGGCATCCAATTTTTACTTCCAATGCCTTCGGATTCCTCACAGAAAATTTCCACACGAAAAATATGGATCACAATGGCCCAAAATGATTTTACATTATATTCCTTACAAAGAGCTGTCGATATGCAAGCGTTCCATGGGGCAATTTCCTTCTCAATTAGCACAAGAGAACTTCCAGGTTTCCAACAATTTATACAGGACATCACCCCGTCTGAGGCAAATCAAGATGGCTTTATTAGAGATTTCTGGAGCCACGCTTTTGGCTGTTCGCCACCAAATAATGGTGTTTCTCAAGATGAGGAATGTACTGGAGAGGAAAGACTAGAGGACCTTATTGCACCCTTCTTTGAAACCAGATACTTGGTCATAGTTACAGTATCTATAATGCAATCTATGCTGTGGCTCAGGCCTTACATGCTGCTCAAACAGGGAGGACTTATCAGAAGATACAAAATGACAGGGATCAAGGGCGATCAAAGACTGTAGAAGCCTGGCAGGTAAGATTTTCCCTTTCTCAATGCTCTTTTGAAATCTTCTCCTTGGTTACAACAGAGTGCTAAGACTTAATGAGTCAACAGATCATGGTAGACTATCTATCTAAATATCACTGATGTTCATCTTTCTTCAAGATTAATACATTACAAATATTGAGCCACTGAAGGTACTGTCTTTTGCCTACAGATTAAACAAATTAACAGAGTTGGAAGAGACCTTGTAGGTCATCTAGTCCAACCCCCCACCCAAGCAGGAGACCCTGCCTACACCATCCCCGACAAATGGCAGTCCAATCTCCCCTTGAAAGCCTCCAGGGATGAAGCTCCCACAAGTTCTGAAGGCAAGCTGTTCCATTGGTTGATTGTTCTCACTGTCAGAAAATTTCTCTTTATTTCTAGATTGAATGTCACCTTGATCCGTTTCCATCCATTTTTATTATTATCATTCCCGACACAGTTTTAGACCTTCAATTCTGTTTCTGAACGCTCCATCTTCAAAAAGATGATGTCCACCTACCGTAAAACATCGCTGGGGCCGGATAATTGCAGCAAGGGCAGTTTATTCTGTGATGTGTCCTGGCTAAAGTGTGTGGGGTTTTTTTTAAACTATTTAAAAAGAGAGGGAAAGGCTGCTATTTAAAAAAGCAAGCAAATAGCTGTGCGCCCAACGTGGGGCTTGAACCCACAATCCTGAGATTAAGAGTCTCATGCTCTACCGACTAAGCTAGCCGGGCATTTAGGAATTACTGCTGTTTATGTAGCTTTACTCTGCAACGAGATGCATTGGTCAGTGCATTGCAATGAGAAGTCAATGGTGATCTAAAGCAGTGTTTCCCAAACTTGGGAACTTTAAGAAGTGTGGACTTCAACTCCCAGAATTCCCCATCCAGCATGGCTGGCTGTGGGATTTTGGGAGTTGAAGTCCATACATCTTGAAGTTCCCAAGTTTGGGAAACACTGGTCTAAAGGAAGTGGCTGCATCTTTTTCTCATACTATTTGCAGCCAAATTGCAAAGCCTGCACAAGATCCCAATAAATTTGTGTATGTGTGTGTGTGTGTCCCAGCAATGTCTTCCTACCTCCCGCCTTAAATCCAAAACCTCCAAATCTCCCTTTAGAAGACTCAACCTGGGTCCTGCAATTTCCCCCCAGCAAGATATTTTATTTCATTTTTTTGAAAATGCCGCTAAAATAAAATCTCTCTTCCCCCCCCCCCCCCACCACTTTCCTTAAAAGGAAAAATTCTGCCCTCTCTGAGGCTCGAACTCAGGACCTTCAGATTATGAGACTGACGCGCTGCCTACTGCGCTAAGAAGGCACATGGTATAGAGTTGTGACATCTTTAAACTGGAAGATATGTTCTATTTTGGAAGCAAGAGCTAATTGGGTTAAATCACTTTTAAAAGTGTATTGATTCGTCTCTCTGAGATCCTCTGCGTTGGTGTTCTTTATTTCTCAGCTTTTCCACTCACAAATGACTTTTCATTGATTTATATTTGGAAATTCCTATCCTTTTTACTGTTTTATGTGCAGCCCAAAGGTGTTGTTAGAGGCAATTTACAGATTACAGATTAACAGAGTTGGAAGGGACCTTGTAGGTCTGTGATGGTGAACCTATGGCACGCGTGCCACAGGTGGCATGCGGAGCCATATTGGTGGGCACGTGAGCATTGCCCTAGCTCAGCTGCAGCACGCATGCATGCACCAGCCACCTGATATTTGGGCCTTCCGGGCCCACTGGAAGTCAGAAAATGGGCCATTTCTGGCCTCCGGAGGGCCTCGGTGGGGGGGGAAGCCGTTTTCACCCTCCCCATGCTCCAAGAAAGCCTCTGGAGCCTGGGGAGGGCAAAAAATGGGCCTACTGGGCCCACCATGCCATCGCATACAAAAAGCAGTGGGAGCGCAGGGGTCACACGCGCATGTGCGCTAGGGTGGGGCGCATTGAATTATGGGTGTGGGCACATGCACCTGCAACCCTCCTGCCCTCCCCCCCACTTTTGGCATGGTAACTCATCTACTCCAACCCCCCCTCCCACCCAAGCAGACCCTACACTAATTTTGACAGATGGCAGTCTAGTCTCTTCTTGAAAGCTTCCAGTGATGAAGCTCCCACAAGTTCCAAAGGCAAGCTGTTACTTTGGTTGATTGTTCTCACTGTCAGAAAATTTCTCCTTATTTCTAGATTGAATGTCTCCTTGATTAGTTTCCATCCATTATTCCTTGTCTGGCCTTCAGGTGCCTTGGAAAATAGCTTGACCCCTTCCTCTCTGTGGCAGCCCCTCAGATATTGGAACACTTCTATCATATCTCCCCTGGTCCTTCTCTTCACTAGACTAGCCATGCCCAGTTCCTGTAACCTTTCTTCATATGTTTTAGTCTCCAATCCCCTAATCATCCTGGTTGCTCTTCTCTGCACTCTTCCTAGAGTCTCAACATCTTTTTTATAGTGTGGTGACCAAAACCAGATGCAGTATTCTAGGTGTGGCCTTACTAAGGCTTTATAGAGTGGTATTAGTACCTCCCTTGATCTTGATTGTATCCCTCTGTTAATGCAATTTAGGATTGCATTGGCTTTTTTGGCTGTCGCCGCACACTGCTGGCTCATATTTAGCTGGTTATCCAGTAAAGACTCCAAGATCCCTCTCACAGTTAGTGCTATTAAGCCTGGTTTCACCCAGTCTATATGTGTACTTTTGGTTTTTCTTGCCTAAGTATAAGACTTTACTTTTCTCTACATTGAATTTCATTTTGTTAGATAGGGCCCAGTGTTCAAGTCTGTCAAGATTCTTCTGGATCTTGAGCCTATCTTCTAGGGTGTTAGCTATTCCCGCCAGCTTACTATCATCTGCAAATTTGGTAAGTTCCCCTTCTATTCCCTCATCTAAGTCATTTATGAAGATATTGAAGAGTACTGGGCCTAAGATGGAACCTTGTGGGACCCCACTGCTTACTTCCCTCCATGTAGACGTAGACCCATTAAGGACTACTCATTGAGTATGGTTTGTCAGCCAGTTGGGAATCCATATGGTGGTGATGCTATCTATCCCACTTTTTTCTAGCTTACCAAGAAGTAGGTTGTGGTCTACTTTGTTGAATGCCTTGCTGAAGTCTAAGTATATTATGTCCACAGTATTTTGCTGGTCTACTAATTTAGACACTATGTTGAAGAATGAAATAAGATTGATTTGGCATGATCTGTTTTTAACAAACCCATGCTGACTGCTAGTTATTACTTTATTTGTTTCTATATGCTGGCAGTGTCGGAGCGTGAATCAGCCTCGTTCCTCTCCTGGGGAAACTGTAATTAATTAGAGGTGAATGGATCTTGTTTTCCATGGTGTATATTCTCAAAGAAAGAAAACCCAAATGTATTCTTCTAAGAAACATTTTTATTATAAAAGTAAAAAAAAAACTAGCTAATTACATCTTACTGGCAGTGATATCTTAGAGACGGAAAATGTAAAACAGGAAGTTAGAAAGAAAGAAAGAATGTAGACATGCGCAGTGGCTCAGAAATCACAAGACAGGATTATCTTAGAGATACGGTTCTCTGGCAAGCTACCGTAATGTTCAGAATGGAAGCTCAGCTGGCAAATACAAATAACGCAGTGACAGGCAGATCTGTTTTTGTTTTATCTTTTCCAGTATCTTCCCGGGTATTAATATTAGGCTGATTGGTCTGTAGTTTCCTGGGTCTGGGTTTTGTTTTTGTTTTTTTCCTTTTTTGAAGATGGGAACCACATCAGCTCTTTTCCAGTCCTCTGGTAGTTCCCTGGTGCTCCACGATTTTTGAAAGATGTGGTAAAGTTGTTCCGACATGACATCTGCCAGCTCCTTTAGGCCTCTGAGATATAATCCATCAGTTCACAGTGATTTGTGTTTGTCAAGATCAGACAGGTATTTCCTTACTATTTTTTTTTTTATTTTAACTTTTATTTCTAGTCTGTCCTTTACAGTTATGTTTTTGGTAGGTTGAGCTACAGTTTCTTTTTGCATGAAGATGCAAAGAATGAGTTGAGCAGCTCTGCTTTCTCTCTCTTACCTGTTACTTCCTTGCCAGCTTCTCTCTTTAGTGGACCAACTGTTTCCTTGATTTGTTTCTTGTTATTTATATGTTGGAAGAAACTTTTTTTTTATTATCTTTGACTTTTGTTACAAGTCTTTCTTCATTCTGAGTCTTTGCTTTCCTGACTTCACCTTTGCAGATTCTGGCTATCTGCTGATATTCTGCCTTAGTTGTGTGACCCCCTTTCCATTTTTTGTACTTGTCCTTTTTGTCTTTCAATTTGTCAGAGAGATCTTTGTGCAGCCATGCTGGTTTCTTCTTGGATTTCTTGTTTTTCTTTCTCAGTGATATTGTGCTGATTTGGGCTTTTATGATCATATTTTTTCAGAATTTCCCAAGATTCTTGAGTCGTTTTCCCCTTTAGGATTTTCATCCAAGGATTTTCATTCTACACATCTCAGCTATTTCCTCCTCCCGCATCAACAAACCTTGTCTTTAACATACTTCTGCCTTTGTACTTCTCTGTAGATTTTCTTCCCATAGCTTCATCTTGCTCTTTTTCAACTACTTCTCTGAAAAAAATCAAGATGTACTAAAAGAGATGGACCTTAAGGTAGACTATGGTCCAAATTACAACTGGATTGTTTCAGTCCTCTATACTTCATTATTCCCGGGAAAGAAAGACTCCAAACTTAAAAAGCAGTGTTGTTTGAAGCCATTTTGGAGGCTAATCTGTTTCCCTTTAAAGTGCAGAGAAGAGCAACCAAGATGATTAGGGGACTGGAGACTAAAACTTATGAAGAACAGTTGCTGGAACTGGGTATGTCTAGTTTAATGAAAAGAAGGACTAGGGGAGACATAATAGCAATGTTCCAATATTTGAGGGGCTGCCACAGAGAGGAGGGGCTTCAAGCTATTCTCCAAAGCACCTGAAGGCCAGATAAGGAATAATGGATGGAAACTGATCAAGGAGAGATTCAACCTAGAAATAAGAAATTTTCTGACAGTGAGAACAATCAACCAATGGAAGTTGCCTTCAGACATTGTAGGAGCTTCATCACTGGAGGCTTTCAAGAAGAGATTGGACTGCCATTTGTCAGAAATGATGTAGGGTCTCCTGCTTGGATGATGGGGGTTTGGACTAGATGACCTACAAGGTCCCTTCCAACTCTGTGAATCTAATCTCATCTAAAACCTTTAACCCTTATTCTTTTTCTTCTGCAAGCTCCATTCATTACTGCAGAGAATTTCCTTCAACAACAATGCTGGAGATGAAATTAAATTAAATGAAGATGGAGCACTGGAAGCTGGATTTGACATTGTAAATTTGGTTATTTTTCCAAACAATTCCTATATCAACATCCCAGTTGGTGAAATAGATCCACAAGGAAAAAACTTCCATATTCATCAAGACAAAATCCAGTGGCATCATGGATTCACTCAGGTACCATAACAATAATATGGGCTCTGAGAGGGAGATGGGTGCTTTCAAATTAGCTAGATAGATGATAGATAGATAGATAGATAGATAGATAGATAGATAGATAGATAGATGGATGGATGGATGGATGGATGGATGGATGGATGGATGGATGGATGGATGGATCAATGGATGGATCAATGGATGGATCAATGGATGGATCAATGGATAGATCAATGGATGAACAGATGGACAGACAGTCAGTCACTCTGGGCAGTTTATAAATTGTTAAAAGTGTTTAAAACAAGAAACAATACAAAGGCATCAAAACAAGTCAAAAGAACAAAGATGGTTGAGAAAATGCTGTGTATGGAAACAAACAAAAGAAAGAATGGTTGAATTAGGTGGAGAAATATAAGAAGAAATGGGAAGAAATAAAAATTGTGGAAAGAAAATTGTGTACACATTTATGTCAAATGTAAATAAAACAATTAGAATAATATACATGTATATTGTAATAATATACATGTATTATTGTAATATACATGTATACCATTATAATGTATAATATACATTATAAAAGATATCCTAAGATAAGAGAGAGAAAATGTATAATTATATAATAATTATAAGTATGGATTACTGATGCGAAACTGTTGAAAAGAAGAAAGTGTTAATATCTCTTTTTGTTTTTTAAAAAAAACTGTTCAATAAAAATTATTTTTTTAAAAAAATACTGACTTTTTTCTTTATTTGGGGACAGATCCCACCTCCCTCCTTATGTAATGAGCCATGTCCTCTTGGAAAAAGAAAGCACAAGATGGAAGGGCGGAAATTTTGCTGCTATGCTTGTGCTCCATGTCCAGAAAAGATGATATCCAGAAAAATGGGTAAGATTCATGGCATCCCAATGGAACCAACCTGTATCCCATTAACAAGAATCTTTTCAACATTCTTGCTCTCTGTATTGATGCATCACAAAGGAGGAAGAGACATCAGTGATGTCCTCTACCCCAGCGGTCTCCAATCTTTCCAGTTTGGTGGACCAGCAGGGGGGATAGAGAGGATGGTTCTATGTCAATGTCTTGGGCACATGCAACTCCATTTTTGCAAGCAGCAGGCACCACTTATGTCTCTTCCTTTTCCTTTTCCTCCTTTGCTCACCCACATCTTGTGTGGCACAGTTCTAAATAGGTAGTGGGCCACAGCCAGGGTGTTAGAGGCCCCTGCTCTACTCCATCTCTCTCTATCCTTGAAGTTGAACCTCATTCATATGATGGGCATATCACATAAAGGAAACAGGAATCAAGTAGCACAGTTCCTGTTCTCCCATCCTCTAGTGCGGGGGTTGGCAACCTGTGGCTCCGGAGCTGCATGCAGCTCTTTCGGCCCTCTGCTGCGGCTCTCTGTTGTGGCAGTGACATGACCAGAGCCTTAGTGCAGGAGCGAAGCACCCCTTTACTTGCCTTTGTGCGACAACAACATTCCTCCTTCATTGCGGTACATTTGCTGTTGCCGCCAGCACAAAAGCTGGGATAGAATGAAGGGGGCAGATCTTGTGGGGTGGGGGCCATCCCCCAAGCCTGGCCTTCCTCCTCCCTTGTCAGCAAGGCCAAGAGAAAGAAGGGGGCGGCATGGGGAAGCGCTCCACTTCCCCACCAAGCACAACAGCCCAGTGGGGGGAGGAGATGGCCTGGCAGAAGCACCCCCATTGGCGAGTTGGATGGTGGAGAGGCGTGGCCCGGCTCTCACAGCTGTTGAAATGCGCTGCTTTCTGTTTTCTTCCCTGGGCCACGATGGCTATGGCCATGGGGGGAGCAGAGGCCTCAGGGCTACTCCCCCTCCCCTCAGCAAGCTGGGCCTGGAGGAGTGCGGAGAGTTGCAGGTGAGCGCTGGAGGGTCAGAAGATGTGCTCCGACATTGCCTCAACACATGTTTCCAGCGCGTGCTTCTCTGTCCCAAAGTAGGATTGAATGGGGGGAAGGGTAGAAAGGAAGGAGAAGCCCAGCTGGCTTTCCTTTGGCATGGGGTAGGGAGAAGACCCAACACCCCCTCCACAGCCTGCCTGCTGCTCTTGCAGCACCTTGCACAGCATAGCGTGCTTTTTTTTTTCGCACTCCTTGGGTCTGTTTGCTACCCATTTTTCTTTCTTCCTTTTGGAAATCCGGGCTGGCTGAGAAATGACCAAACCCGTGGTGGAGGGTTCCCTCCTCCTCCCCCTCTCATGCACACCATCCCTGCCCCGCCACAGCCAGCCGGGGGTCGTGAGAGGAGGGAGAGGAGGAGGAGGGAAGCCTCCACCGCGGGTTTGCTCATTTCTCAGCCAGCCTGGATTTCCAAAAGGAAGGAAGAAAAACAGGTAGCAAAAAGCCTTGAGCACGGAGGGCTTTCCGAGAGAGTTAGAGGAGACACAGAGACAGGGAGCAAGAGAAAGTGACAGAGACATAAAGAGAGACACAGAGAGGGGGAGACAGAGAGAAAAATAGAAGAGAGAGAGAGACATAGAGAGAGACACAGAGAGGGGAGACAGAGAGAAAAATAGAAGAGAGAGGGAGACATAGAGAGAGACACAGAGAGGGGGAGACAGAGAGAAAATAGAAGAGAGAGGGAGACATAGAGAGAGACACAGAGAGGGGGAGACAGAGAGAAAAATAGAAGAGAGAGAGAGACATAGAGAGAGACACAGAGAGGGGGAGACAGAGAGAAAAATAGAAGAGAGAGGGAGACATAGAGAGAGACACAGAGAGGGGGAGACAGAGAAAAATAGAAAGATATGAGAGAAAGAGAGAGAGAGAGAAAGAGAGAAAGAGGGGGGATGAGAGAGAGAGGGATGAGAGGAAGATAGAGAGAGAAAGAGGGAGATAGAGAGAAAAAAGACAGATGAGAGAAAGAGAAAGGTGAGAGGAAGGGGGAGAGAGGGGTGGAGATACCTATTTCGCATAGAAAACAGAACACAGGGAGCCACAGAATCTGGGTAGGCATGGCTGGGGTGGGGTCATGTGACTGGGTGGGAGTAAGTGACATTGAGCTGGGCTGGCCACGCCCACCCAGGTTTTCTGGCTCCCATTCTTTTGTTTTCTGTGAGAAACGGGCCAAGTGGCTCTTTGAGTGTTTAAGTTGCACATCCCTGCTCCAGCACTACTGCACATTTTTCAGGATCTAATGTATCAAGCACCTCTTTTCTCTTTCCCACTAGTTGACACAGGTTTAGAAAGTGAGACATGCTATTCTCTTGCTCAGAAATGCTATAAAACCTAGTGCACAGCAAGAAAATTGATATGTACAAAAATCTAAATAGTGTTTCCCTACAGTACTCATTTTTACAATCTAGCAATAGCACTAACACTTAGACTTATATACCGCTTTACAGTGCTTTACAGCCCTCTCTAAGCAGTTTACAGAGTCAGCTTCCTGCCCCCAACAATCTGGATCCTCATTTTACCCACCTCGGAAGGATGGAAGGCTGAGTCAACCTTGAGACTGGTGGGATTTGAAGTGCCAAAATGCAGGCCGCCAGCAATCAGCAGAAGTAGTTCTGCAGTTCTGCACTCTAACCACTGTGCCACCATGGCTCATCTAGGTTGATCTAAGTTACAAAAGGATATAGAAAAAACGTACATTGCAGGAAAATCCAGAAAAGAAATTCTGAAACTTCTGAAAAGTTTAAGTCTGTTCAGAAACTTTTTTCTTCTTTTCAGACATGGAGAATTGTGACAGTTGTCCAAAGGATCAATTTCCAAATCAAGCTCATGATGAGTGCATTCCAAAGACATTGCATTTCCTCTCCTTTGAAGAGCCACTGGGCATTACTCTGGTGTCTCTGTCTCTTCTTTTTTCCCTACTTACAGCTTTGGTGTTCATAATTTTTATTAAGCAACGGGACACTCCCATTGTCAAAGCCAACAATCGCAACCTCACCTATGTTCTACTTATCTCCCTCTTTCTCTGTTTCCTCTGCTCATTTCTGTTCATTGGAAAGCCCAATAGGATGACCTGCCTCCTCCGACAAACCAATTTTGGCATCATCTTCTCTATTGCGATCTCTTCTATATTGGCCAAAACCATCACAGTCATCGTAGCATTCCTAGCATCAAAGCCAGGGAGCCTATTCCACAAATGGGTGGGGCAAAAGTTGGCCTATTCTATTATCTGGTTCTGTTCCTTCATTCAAGTAACTATTTGTGCCATCTGGCTGAGTAAATCTCCCCCATTTCCACATTTAGACATGGAGACACTCTATGGAGAAATGATAGTCGAATGTCATGAAGGCTCCATCACCTTGTTTTACTGTGTCCTGAGCTACCTGGGCCTCTTGGCTCTTCTCAGCTTCACTGTGGCCTTCCTAGCCAGGAAGTTGCCAGACAGTTTTAATGAAGCCAAGTTCATCACCTTCAGCATGTTGGTTTTCTGCAATGTTTGGCTGACCTTTGTCCCCACCTACCTGAGCACCAAAGGGAAGTACGTGGTGGCTGTGGAGATCTTCTCTATCCTGTCTTCCAGTGCTGGTTTACTGGGATGCATCTTCACCCCCAAAATCTATATAATTATACTGAGACCTGACCTCAACACTAGAGAGCAATTAACACATAAGAAATAGAAAAAGGGAACAAGATTCAATTTTGAATAAGCAAAACTACTTGGAATTGTGCTTCTGTGTGTGTGTGTGTGTACATACATATTTGACTGAATTCATCTTCCATCTCAGAATTATGTGGTTTTGGAAGAATAGGGTATATTAATTTTTCAGCAAGCACTTTTCCATATGATTTAATTAAGCTTTGGGTTTTCATTAGTAGTAACATAACAACTGGGTTAATATCAAGATAGACATCAGAAGTAACACAAAGAACAAACTTCAAGATTCTTTGAAGATCGTTGACTGATTTCCTGACCCATTTAAAACTGCTGATAAATTGACTTTTGCCAATGAAGATGATAATACAGTCATTATGAAACTTTACATCATTCCCAATTAAATTGGGAGATGCATGATACCACCTGAGCAATCATTTTAATGGGCAGTTCTTGATGCCATGAAGCTTTAAATATACGTAAAGAAGTATTTCTTTGCTTAGATGAAAACAAGTATATCCAGAGGAAATCCGTGCCTTTTTATGGTTTTGTCAGATGGATTAGAACAGGAGGACATAGCATAGTGTGGTGGCCAAATTTAGGCTCAGGTAAAGCAACAAAATTAACAGATTAACAGATTAAAAGAGTTGGAAGGGACCTTGTAGGTCATCTAGTCCAACCCTTATTCCAGCAAGCCGGCCTGGCCTAATTTTTCTCCCCTTTCTTTTAAATTTTAAATTGAAATTTTAATTTGTTTTAAATTTATTGTGATTTTAATTGTCGTGGGCCAATATTATTTAATTTGGTTTTAAATTGTTTTTAACTTTTGTATTTCTGTATTTTATCTTGTGCCTGTTCACCGGTCTGAGTCCTTTGGGAGTAGGGCGGTATACAAATTTAATAAAACTCAAACTCAAACCCCCCCCACCCAAGCAGGAGACCCAACACCATTTCTGACAAATGGCAGTCCAATCTCTTCTTGAAAGTCTCAAGTGATGAAGCTCCCAAAACTTCCAAAGGCAAGCTGTTCTCTTTGAAGAGACATTATTTTATTTACATGCATACAAGCAATAATACAGTATATTCTGGATCCCCAGCAAAGCTTTTGATACTTTGCTGAGCACACATAAGCAGCAGCAAACCAGGTCTTATATAGGGTATCACAGAAAAAAATTATAGGTGACATTGGAATATTTTAAGGAAACCTCAAAGGTGATTTTTCAAAAGGCAATTGTTGTGACTCTGACCCCCGATCCCATCTTATCAGAGGGAGAAGGCTCCGAAAGTGAAGGAGAGGAATTGGCCAGGCCTCCCTCTCCAGGACCCTCCTCTCTGGCAATGCCTCAGGTGTCTCCCGAAGGAGAAGAGATTGGCCAGGAGCCAGGTATCGCCGAGCAGTCGCAATCGGACAGTGACGAAGATAAGTCTTGGCTGGATCCACCCCAGCGTCAGAGAGACAAGCGCACGCAGCAGAAAAGGAGGCATACCAGAGATTAAGCTGACTCACTGGACCACACCCCACAGGGATAAAAGGGGGTGTGGTGGCCATTCAGGCTCTGTGACGGACAAAACTAAACAACTAGCGAGTTGCATTGTATCTCTGAAACTATGTTATCTGCCTGCCTTGGATTTAATACGGACTGGACTTGACAATTCTGTGGATTTGTGTATTTGTTTTGATTCTCTGTGAGTAAAGTTCTTGGCAAGCAGCTACTGGGTTGCTGCCAATCCTGTTATCGAAGGAATTTATTGTCTGCAAGTTTTATTTAACTCCTGGCTGACTGTTTGTGTGCGTGTGTGAGACGGGGACAGAACAGCAATTGGATTTTCTCCCCACCATCTAGTCAGAACTGATGGAGCTTCTTGGAGGAGAAGTGAAACACCTTCTTCTACCTCAAACAAACAAAAAAAGACACAGTCCCCTTGCCATTTGAAAAAGCAACTTTGAGACAATTATGACCTGGATGACTGAGAATTAAAGAAACCCCTCTGAGTGACCATAATATCATTTATCCATTCCTACTGGTAGTCATATAATTTTGGGCATATATAGGGGTGGGATTCAGCTGGTTCGGACTGGTTCGGGTGGACCAGATACTAATTTTGCATCTGGTTCACTGAACTGGTAGTTGTAAAGACTGGTTGGCCCCTCCCAACCACATCCTGCCCCTCCCAGGAGTCTCCACACGGCCCATTTTGGACACCATGTAAATGCAGTGCCCATGTGGAGGTTCTGGGAGGGTGAAAAACAGGCATCCCGGAAGTTCTAGAAGTCTGCAAATGGGGCCATTTCCAGCCTCCGGACGGTCTGCAGAGCCCAGGGGAGGCCATTTTCACCATCCTGGATGCTTGAGGGAAGCCTCCATAGCCTGCGGAGGGTGAAAACGCCCCCACCCCCGCCGTGGAGCAAAAGGCCAAGTAGGCCACGTCCATGATGCCCAGCAACCAGGCATAGAACTGGATGCTAAAATTTTTGAATCCCACCCCTGGGCATATACCACAATATGTGAAAGATTAGGAGCCCAAATTTAGCCTCTGTGTTTCTATGTGAGAGGGAGATTGATTGATCGATTTTTTTAATTAAATTTCTATACCGCCCTTCTCCCGAAGGACTCAGGGCGGTGAACAGCCACGAGATAAAACACATAAATACAAAATATTTAAAATGAATTAAAAACGAATTAAATAATTTGGCTGAATTTAAAATACCCCATAATTTAAAACAAATTAAAATTTACATTTAAAAATTTTTAAAAATTTACATTTAAAAAGGGGAGAAGATTTAGGCCAGGCCAGCTTGATGGAATAGGAAAGTCTTAAGTGCGCGACAGAAGGTGCGCAGATCCGGTATCCTCCGTATCTCCGGGGGGAGCTCGTTCCAGATAGTAGGTGCCCCCACAGAGAAGGCTCTCCCCCTACGGCCGCCAGTCGACATTGTTTGGCCGACGGCACCCAGAGGAGCCCCTCTCTATGGGAGCGTACTGGCCGGTGGGAGGCTATTGGTGGTAGCAGGCGGTCCCGTAGATAACCAGGTCCTAAGCTATGGAGCGCTTTAAAGGTGATAACCAGAACCTTTTTTTTTTATTGAAAAAGTTTTACAATTACATTTTCTTCCCAGTTTCCCCCCCCCCAACCCTCCCTAACCTCCCTAACCCTCCCTAGCCTCCCCTAACCCACCCACCCCCGGACTTCCACAGAATATAGTCCAAATCAAAATCCCCTTTTTATAAAACTTGAACCCCTCCATAACCAGAACCTTGAAGCGCACTTGGAAGACCACCGGGAGCCAGTGCAGCTCGTGCAGGAGAGGTGTTACATGGGAACTCCACGTTGCTCCCATAACCACCCGCACGGCCGCACTTGATTGATTGATCATCAATTCATTCATTGATTTAGAGAACATATATGGCTACAAATTTCATGTATGTAACTCTGAACAATAGGCCACTCAGCCAAATAATAGACCTTGTTGCTGGTATCCTTACAATTTATATTGACCGTTTCCTAATATGATTTGATTATATCATTAAGTGTTGTACTTTATGATTCTTGACAAATGTATCTTTTCTTTTATGTACACTGAGAGCCAAATTCCTTGTGTGTCCAATCACACTTGGCCAATAAAGAATTCTATTCTATTCTGTTCTGTTCTGTTCTGTTTTGTTCTGTTCTGTTCTATCTGTTTGATTATGACCTGGATGACTGAGAATATCCATAGACATTTTAAAGAAACCCCTCCAAGTGACCATAATATTATTTATCCCTTCCTACTACTAGTCATATAATTTTGGGCATATACCACAATATGCGAAAGATTAGGAGCCTAAATTTAGCCTGTGTGTTTGTATGTGAGAGGGAGATTGATTGATTGATTGATTGATCGATTGATCGATTGATTGATTGATGATTCATTCATCCATTCATTCCTTCATTCATTTCAAGAACATATATCGCCACAAATTTCATGTATGTAACTCTGAGCAATAGGCCACTCAGCCAAATTATAGACCTCAAGCGCAGTTCCTCAATCCCCAAGAGTAAGCAGAATAAGGTCTCCAATCACAAACATGTTTGCTCCAGCAACATCACTCCAGATATCACAGACATGATGATTAAGTCAACAGGTCAATCCTCCAGTGGCTCTCAAGATGCTTCTGAAGGAACTAGCAGAGGCAAATCTCAGAATAGCTATATATCTCTATCCAATATATTGCTCCCTGCTGAGGACCATTCCTCAAAATTGATTGAAGTGCTCCCCAACCATGACAGGGTCAATATGAGAGCTGTTGTCATAAATTTGGGTTCTCAGAATCTTTTTGCTGTTCGTAGCATAAATATCTATTTCTTGTGGGTTTTGTGCTAATATTTTTAGACTGTTGATGAGCCAATGCCTAGTCAATTCCAGAGCTGACAGATTCTCCCGATTTCTCTATGTGAAACTAGCAACATTACTTCACACCTGTGAAATATACACTGACCATCATCTTGGAATAATTATACAAGATCAATGAAATTCTGCTAAAACCTCATACCCGCGGCCTTTTAAATTGCTAATAATTAGATATTAGACTCAAAGGTCAACTCTCTCCTTTACACTTTGAGCATCCAGACATAAGGGAGGCTGAAGAAAATGGATCAGATCAATGAATGAGGCACGATATATTCTGAAGACAGATCTCAACCAAGGTAGCATTTCTTTCACTATCTATAGTATCCTGTTTGAATCAAGGCTGCTGGCCACAGCAATACAGGACAAGCCAAATCAGCAGGAATGTTGGGGATTATTGTCATTGTACTGTTTCCAGAATTGACCATGAAGATCCAGCCTCTTAAGTGCACTGGAGATGAAGCCATTCAAATTCCACAGGAATGGTACCAGGAGGGAGACCTTCTCATCGGTGGATTGGTGTCTCATGTTCACTACATGTTCCCCAAAGTTACTTTTCAGAAACATCCTTCTGAGGAATCGGTTGACTTCCCATTGTAAGAAATCCCTCTCTTAGTTTATTTTAATCTAATCTTGCTTTTTTTCCCCATCTTTGTAAAACAGAGAG